TGTGAGTTCAGCAAGTATCCGTTACGCGCCTGCTCCTCCCAGCTGTCCTGGAGGTCTGCAGGCTGGATCAGTTTTCCGCTTGGAGCTGCGCCTTTGGCTGCCCCTCGTGGCCGTCTCTTCTCTGAGGCTGGAGCTCCCCTTCCCAGTGGAGTTCCCGGTGGAGGTCACCACGGGTCCTCCAGGTGGAGGGGTGGGTCTGGGAACCGGACTGGGAGTTGGGTGGAGGTCAAAGTTCAAGCCTAGTGTAGGGGCTGCTGTCTCTTTGGGCATCGGCTGGGCTCTGACCCGGTCAGGCCAGGTCACGGGGACACTCAACACCAGAGTTAGGGACGAGGCGGCAGAGGTCAGTTCTCTCCTCCGCAGACTGAGGGGTTGGGCCAGCTCACTAGTCCATTCCACACGGAAACACATGTCATGGTGGTCCCAAAGTTTTCATCAGACAAGAGGTCTCAGGGCCAGAGGGCCGCAGAGCCCTCGAGCTGAGCCTTTGGGCCGGGGCCGCGGTGGCAGCGTCTGCTCTTCAGGACCCGCCTCTCTTCGCGGAGGTGTGATAGTTGGGCCTAGTTGGTGATTTCTCTTTCTCCCCTGCTTGGACTCCCTTCAGGGCTGGGAGACCCCCCCATGTCCCACTCAGCCCAATAAAACCCACCCACGACATAGGGAGCCTAGAGGGACCTAGGGAACGTGGATGGAGGTGTAAGTCCCGGCCCACCGTGAGGTTCCCCACCCCCTTTCTCCAGGGCTGGCCTTGAACTGGTGGTCTCCACCCTGCCCCGAGGCCCGGGTTGATTTGTAGCCAAGTGCCAGGCTCCGGGGGCTCTCTCACCCCCCCCCAGATCTCCCCCCTCATCTCAGAGCCTGGGCGTCAGGGCTGCCGGGGCCCCCAGGGCCCATCCTGGTGTCCAGTGCGGGGTGGGGGGACCAAGCAGGGATAGCTGTGCCGGGCACAGCTCTGTCCTGGCGACCTTGCAGTTAGGGGGCAGATAGGTGAGAGGCCTGTGTGCTGGTCCTGTGGGTTTCAGGGGGGCCTCGAATGCCAGGTTCTCCACAGCAGCCCTGCCTCTTGGCCCTCTGGGACCCCCCTGACAGACAGGGCCCGGGCCCCAGGGGATGGGACCAGAGGAACAGATGAGGTGAGGAAGACCACACCTCTTCCACCTCCTGACATCCTTTGCTCCTTGTCCCATGTGCCCTCTCCTTCCTCCACCTGGCTCGCACCTGCCACACGTCCCACTCAGGTTCAGCTGGCACTCAAAGCCCCACTGTCTCTTTTATTCTCCCCCCCCTACACACACACACCCCTTGTTTCCAGAACAGGGCAGCCTGGGGCTTTCCCCAAAGAGCCTGCTGGCCTGAGCCCTCTCTGCCCGCTCTCTGCAGCTCTGGGCTTCCGGAGCCTCCGCAGCCCCGCTGGCTGGAGGCCCCTCCGTGGTCACTGTGTGCGTGGAATCCCGCCAAGGCTACCTGGCTGTTTCTCTGCCCTTCACCCTCTGCCCAGGCAGCTCATGCACTCACTCACTCACTCACTCACTCATTCCCTCCTTAGGAGGTCAGGCCCTGTGCCGGATGCCGAGAAGGCAGCACTGAGCAGACGGGGAGCTTCTCTGCACGCAGGAGTCTGCAGACTCCCGAGCTCCTGAGGCTGAAAGCTTGGGCGCAAGGTCTGCACGGCCCCCTCCCCACCTGTGCAGCCCACCCCCCAGCCAGGCCCAGCACAGTGCGCTGTCAGCAAATTGGACACGGCTGGGTGTCCAGAGTGAGGCAGGAAGCAGGGCAGGGTGTCTGGACCAGGGGCGAGAGCGCTCGCTCGGTGGCCTCCCTGCTTAATTCCCTGGGCAAACAGCTGGGAGGGCTGCGGGCATTGGCTGCAGCTTCAAAGGGCCCTGGGGGCCACGGGGGGGGGGGGCGGCGGGCTGTGTGCTCGCGGCCCGCCTTCCCCAGTTCCTGGAACTCATGCTTTCCTGTGAGCTGAGCGGGCTGCTTCCTTCCAGGGGAGGGGGTCTGCCCTCCCACACGGGCTGCCCTCCTGCCCTCAGAGCAGGCGCAGGCAGGGCGAGGGGCTGTGGGAGCTGGGGAGCAGGGCATCAAGACCTTCATCCCTGTCTGTCACTCCCCTCTTGGTTAGTATGCACCCTGCCTCTCCCTGCACCCCCGCAGGTTGCTTGGCTTCTGGGGGCCAGTGCCCTGCAGCTGGTCCCTGCCTGCCCCTGAGTCACACCGGGAACCATCCAGCCCCGGCATGCCCGTTACACGGCTCTGATCTGTCCCTGTCTCACCTGGAGCCACCGAGTGGTACAGACACCTGTGCCCCAGGAGGGTGGCGACCCCCCAGGGCTTCCACGTGCCAGCGCAGTCCCAGCAAGGGCGCCCTCACAAAGCCAGCCCCCCACCGCCCCAGGGTACCTGCCCTCCCTCGTCACCTGTGTTGTCTCCTCATCATTACACAAGAATGTGTCGGCGGGACCCGGGGCCACTCCACCCCATTGTTAGTGCAGGCCCCTCCCCTCACCTCCACCCCGGACAGGCCCGGGCCTGCCCACTGCCCCCTGCTGGGAGTCCAAATACACCTGTTTACCTCTGGGCCTCCGCCCAGGATGGAAGCGCACCTGATTCCCGACCACCTCCCGCCCACCTGCCCTCACACCCCTTCTCTCCCGCCCTCCAGCTCAGCCCGTTCCTTCTGAAAGCCCCTGTCCCTGCGTGCGTGTGTGGGGGTGGGGGTGGGGGTGGAGAGGGATTCCTGTCGTCAGCTCAGCTCTGCAGGGGCCTGGCCACCTGCTCCAGGACAGCATGGGATGGGGGGCTGGGGGGAGTCCCGGGCGCCTTCCAGACGGCCCGAGAGTCGCTGGAGCCTGTGGTGGCCTGCTCGGTGGGATGGGACATGCTCTGGGTGTGGGTGGGGAGGGCCCCCAAGGTCCAAGCTCCTGCCCTCGCCCCTCGTCCCCCTCTGGGCTGAGGATACATGGTGGGGGGAGGATGGGGCAAAGGTGGCCAGTTAGGGGACAGAAAGGTGGCCTTTTCTTTGGGAAGGCCTGTGGCTGACACCCAAGAATGAAATAGCCGAGCGGCTTCTCATCACACAGTCTCATCACAGAGGTGGGGGTTCAAGGAGACAAGGAGCCTGCTCAGGGGTCTTGGGTGAGGGCCCCAGAGCACCTAGCTCACAAGAGACAGGCCCTCGGCACCCCTCGTCATTCGGGCCGGGGTGCTGGGTGGGGAGGCGCCTCGGTGGGGGCCAGCTGTGACATTGGAATGGGGTCTGAGGTTCGGGGGCCACCAGGTCAGCGTCAACTTCCTGATGGTGTTGGTGGCGCGAAGCTCAGGTGGGAATGTTCTTGCTCCAAGGACGCATGCCCGGACGTGGTTTGTGCCGATGGGCGTCACTGTGTCTGCAACTTACCGTCCGCTGCTGCAGAGTGCGCTGTGGTCGGGGCCACAGGGAATTGTAAATAGACACGAAGCAATGAACACCCCTCCAAGGCAGGGATGAGGGGGTTCTGAAATGCAGGCTTTCGCTTTCCCGGGGCTGCCTGCTCGGGGGCCTGGGAAGGCCTGTGCCCCAGCGCCCTCTTGGCTTTGGTGATATCTGGGGACCCTTAAACGATGCCGATGCCTGGGCCCCGACCCCGGACACGCTGGCCCTGGGCACAGAGGTTTTCGGAGGCTCCCGGTGACATCCACTGCAGCCAGGGGCGAGCCAGAGGCTCTGCTCTGCTCCCCGGGCAGTTCTACCTGCCCCTGACCTTGCCCTTCTTCTGGGCCTAGGCAGAGGGTGAGGTGGGGGAGAAGGCGGCACGCCCTACCTGTCCATCCAAGGTGTGACCCTGTTGGCTGGTGGGGGCTAGTACAGAGTTAGGCTGGTGAGTGGTGGGTGAAGGGAGGGAAGATTTGCTTGGAGCTGAGGGAAGTCTCAGAGAGAATCTTTGGGGAGGGGGGCGGGCTGGCTTCTGGGCTCAGTGAGGCCTCAGCCCCCCCACCCCCCAGCCCTGCAGCGAGTGTGCCCTTCTGAAATATTTGGAATAATTAGCAAGTGAAAGCAGCAAGCTAGCGAGGGGCATGCCAGGCTGGCCTAGAGCCGAGCTTCAGTGAAGGGAGAGAAAGGGGCCGGGGGAGCGTGGGGTCCAGGCGGCTGGGCAGGGCTGCGTGGGACAGTGCCCGTTTGTGCTGGGGGCGGTGTGTGTGTGCGGGGGGGGGGGGGGACTGTGCATCCCCAGGGGCTCTGAGGGGCGGGGGTTCTGGACAACGCTGGGACACAGCATGGAGAGGTGCCACCGTGTGTTGCTCAAACACACGATGTTCTGAGCCTCACTGTCCCCGTCAGAGCCCTCGGAGGCTGGCTCCTCCCAGAGCAGACCTGCCAGTAGGAGTGGGGAAGCAGGGTCTGGGGCCTTGGGCTTCCCTGGTGGCCTTCCTCCTGCTCCGGCCTGGGGCGGGCCCGGGAGGGAAGGCACTGGGCCGAGTGGACACGTGCCAGGGTGGGACGTGGGGGCCCTGGGGCTGGGGCCTCTGGCCTCACACTGTCCCCTCTGGGAGGGGACCGGGGGAGGGAGGTGCTGGAGGTTGGCCCAGGCCAGGGACAGCAGATCCAGGCAGGCAAGCCCAGGCAGGCCCTCAAGGTGGGGGACGCTTGAGCGGAGCCCTGGGCGGGCCAGGCCTTCGTGGGTCCTCAGGGCCAGGGAGGGGACTGAGTCTCCCTTCTCGCACCCCCAGAGCGCTGTGGGTGCAGTTCTCCCCACTGCGCAGGCGGAGGCACTGAGGCCCGGGCCGCAGGCGACACCCTGGTGGCCGCCTCTCCCTCCCTCTCCTTCTCCCTGGGGACACAGAGGTCACTAGGAGTTCACCGGGGACACTCTTCAGGCCTTCGGTGTCCCTCCCCCCCCAGCTTCCTCCCAGCCATTCCCCCTTGGCGGCAAAGACAAGGCCCTCCAGTCCGACACTGGCCTTCACCTTTTCCCCAAGAAAGTTGCAAGCAGGTCCAATGTGCAGATTTTTTTAAAATTTTATTTTCAAAAAATTTTTATTGCAAATAATTTTCCATGAAAAAGGTTAAACTGCCCCATGGGGCAGGAGAGTGGATTCGGGACGCCGCAGCCTGGGGTGCTCTGGGTGGAGCTGCGCACCCCCTCCCACAGCGCAGGCAGGGGCCCGGGGCGACCCCCGCCACTTCTCGGTCCCGGTGGCTCCGGGAGGATGGGCGTCCCTCCCTGTTAAAGCTCAGCTACGCGCTACGCCCGCTAGGTTAGTCTGTCTGTGCCCGCCCCGCCCCCCACGGCTCGGCTGCCTCTGCCCCTAACTCCCCCGAACCCCAACTCCTTGCTGCTCTCAGCCTCCAGTTGGGCTCAAAGATTAGGGATTGCTACCCTCTGCCCCGCCGCCCCCCTCAAGAGGGGCCAGGAGGGGACTGCAGAGACTGTGAGAACATTTCCCCGCCCCAGCAGGCACCTGGCCTCCTTGTGGGCAGCTCGTCTGCCCTCCCCTCTAACGCCCGCCCGTTCCTCCCCAGCCCCCGGGGAGGCTTTGCCCTGAGAGGCCTCCAGGGGGTTAATTTGCAGTCACCTAATTAGCATGTGTTGTACCTGGGAACTTTCTCTGGATAGAGACCTGGGGAGGAGAGTGGGAGAGGGAGAATCTTTGAAGCTGAGGTGCTCAGGGACAGGGGCCCTGGTCCTCTAGCTCCCCAGCCTGGCCAGGGCCCCTCCAGGTCACACGGCTGTCACCGTGCGGGGCTCCTTAGCCGGTCCCTGGGGCCTGGAGAGGGGGGTCGGTGGAACACTGCGCACGTGCGGGGCTGGGAGGGGAGACAGCAGTTCTGGTCCTGGGCCCCAGCTCTCAGCCTCCGGGGCTGGAAGCAGAGGGCAGCCTGGGCTGGGGGGGTGGGGTGTGTGGCCTCGTGGGGCCAGCCTCGGAGACTTGGCCCAGCCTCCGTCTGGGCAGTCGGGTTCCGTGGGCCTGTGTGGGGGTCAGTCTGGGCCCTGACTTGGGTGCTGTCTGGAGGTGGGGCGGGGCCTGGCATCTTACAAGAAGGCGCCCACACTGGCCCAGTCTTGCAGGTCGGCGGCCAGGGTGGCGTCCCCGGCCTCAAACAGGGGCTCCGGGGGCAGGCAGCCGCTGCCGTTCTCGTCCCAGGGGTGCTGCAGGAAGGACGTGGCCAGGAAGGTCTCGTCGAAGTCCAGGCTGTCGGCGGCCTGCTCCACGGAAGGCCCCCAGGTGGCAGGGCAGTTGATGTGGTGGCCGTGGACGGTGAGGTCCACGTCCCCGTGCGAGGCGGGGCTCAGCGGCGGGCTCAGCTCCAGGGCCTCGAGCGTGCCCAGCTCCCCGCCCAGGGCGCCGGCGTCGAACACGGCCTCCCAGTCGAAGTTGCCTTTGAGGGGCTCCAGCTCGCCCTGCTCCTCCTGGGTCAGCAGCAGGGTGCTGGGCGGCCGCGGGACCTTGGCCACCCGCTTGGGCAGCGGCTGTTTGCGCTTGTGCCCGAGCCTGCCCTCGCCCGCACCCCAGCCCGCCTCCCCCGTGGCCTCCTCAAACTCCCGCAGCAGCTGCTGGGCCTCGGTGTTCACGGCCAGCGGCCCGGCCCACGGGGCGGCGCTGGGCTTCTGCGCGGCCTGGCGGGCAAAGGCTGGGTGGATGTGGACCGGGGTCAGCCGCCGCTTCTTGAAGGCCCCGCTCAGCAGGCGCTCGGCGTACTGGGGGTCGATGCGCCAGAAGCCCCCCTTGCCGGGCTCGTCCTTCTCCCGGGGCACTTTGATGAAGCACTTGTTGAGGGACAGGTTGTGGCGGATGGAGTTCTGGGCGCAGGGAGAGAGCAGACACACAGAGGACCGTGTGAGCGGGGAGGGAGGGTCAGCGACCCGGCAGCGAGTGCTCCCGCCTGTCCTCCTGCCACCCTTCCTCTGAGGGGGGGAGGGGGCAGGCTCTGGGACCCCGCCACAAGGCGCGGGGAGCCAGGAGTGCCGTCGGGGGCTTTTGTTCCCTGTTGCCGGGATATCTGCCTGCTCAGTCATCCGAGCCCCCGAGCCGCAGGGCGGCTCTCAGTGCCACCCTGTCCTGCCCTCCCTCCCTCCCTCCCTCCCTCACCCCGCTGCCTGCAGCCTCTGGCCAAACTCTGCAGCTCCCCCAGGGCCTGGCCGGCCGTCTCCCTCCGCCTGGGCCTGGCTGGCTTTCTCTGTTTGTGAAGTGCGTGGGTTGGGGTGGGCGGCACTGGGGGGCCGAGGGTGTGCGGGTGCGAGTGTGCACACGCACGTGTGCATGCCTGCCCAGGGGGCTGTGCAGGGAGATGAGCGGTGCCATCCGACGACTTCCCTTGGTTGTCGAGCCAGCGGCTGGCCTGGGCTCTGACTGCCCCCCTCACCCCCCCCGCTCCCCGCCTAGGCTGTTTGGCCTCCGTTGATTATTACCCAGCAAAGGGCATAGCGCTCATTCCTGGGGCCCGTTTCCTGCAGCCTGAGCTTCCCGGGCTTGGGGGTGGCTGGGGGGCTCTGCCTTCTCACCAAAGCTATACAGATGGCATTGCCCCCGCCAGGGCCCGGCAAGTGTAGAATGGCTGGGGACTGTTGTGACAGGCGGCCTGCTGCCTGTGGGCGCCCCAGGGAAGAGTCTGGGCGGCCTCAGGGCCTCTGTGCCCCTCCAGTCCCCGCTCCTGATGGCAGAGCACGCCCAGGGCAAGGTTTGGTCACCGTCCTGCCTTGCCTGTCCCTAGGGGCGCAGTCTGATCAAACCATGATGGGGGTAGGGCCAGGGGCCTGGGGAGCGGGACGGAGGGGTGGGGGATGCCCCTTGGCAAGGCTGGGATGTTTACGTGGCAGCCTAGCCCCTTGGCTGCTCTGGGCCAGGTTCCGGAGACGTGGAACGTGAAGCCGGAGCTGGAGGCAGAGCCCCTGTGGAAAGCACCTGGCTCAGGTAATTGTCCCCCCTGGGAGGCCGACTGAGAAGAGGAAAAAGGTTAGAGGCAGAAAACTGGGGAGGGGCGGGAGCGGGGGCTGAGACAACAGCTTTCGGAAGGCCTCGCAGCCACGCCACCGAGACACAGGTGGCCTTCACACCCCACGGCACCCCCACCCCCGCCCGCCTGCCCTCCGCCAGCCACCTGCAGCCAGGCAGGTGGACACCGCTCCTGCTTCCACCTCGGAGTCAGGTCCTGACGAGCTGCCCTCGGGCAGGGCTGTGTCTAGGAATTTTAAGACTTGGGACAAAAATGTATCCCTCATTTTGTCACCTTTGGGGGGAGCTGTGTCCACGGCAAAGGCTGGCCCTGCCAAGTCTTTGGACTGAGCTTCTCGGATGAGTGGCAGGTGCTTGCACCTTGCCCCTCAGCACCCTCACGCCTAAAGCCCTCGGAACACCCTTCCTCCTCCCTCTCCAGAGTCAAATGAGGGGCATTTCCAAGCACTGGTCTCCCTGGAGGTCCTTCTTCCAGGGCCTTTCTGCCGCGGGCCCCTGGGTGCACTGCACCTGCCTACTTGACCTGCAGATCTGAGAGGTGAAGTGAGCCCAGTCCTCACAAGAGTGCAGAGGGAGGGAGGAGTTTGGGACAGAGCTGCCACAACCCACGCCTCCCCTACCTGCCAGGTGGGATCAGCATGGCGGAAGTAGCAAAAGTTGTCCGTGATCCATTTGTAGATGGCCGACAGGGTGATCTTGGTGGCCTTGCTCGCCTGCATGGCCATGCAGATGAGCGTGGCGTAGGAGTAGGGTGGCTTCACGTTCGGGTTCGTGGCGTAGTCCACGTCGTCGGGGGGCGGAGCCTGGAGCCCAGAGGGCGAGCTCCCGGACGTGCACGACGACGTGGGCTTGCCTGGCGTGTGCGGCTGCCCCAGGCAGGCTGGGTCTGCCGCCAGGGGGGACCCTGGCGCGGCCGAGCCTGGTACCTGGTGGTAGCCATGGGGGTCGGCGCCCCCCGGGGGCAGGGCAGGGGCCTTGGCGTTGAGAATGGAGAATTCCTGCAGCCACTGCAGGCTGGTCAGGCTGTCGTCCAGCGCATCGGGCTCCTCCAGGCCGCCCTCCGGCCCGGCCCCCTCCGCTACCCCTGCTCCGGAGAGGCGTAGCCAGCTCTCCGCCATGTCTGCACCGACTCTCCGAGGGGGCGGTCAACGTCCACGGCCGAGCCCACGGCGGCCCGCAGCGCTCTCCGCCCACTGACTTCCGCGGCTCCAGCTACACAGCCTCGGGGACGCGCGTTTCCATCCTGCGACCCCGCCGCCGAATACCCGAATACGAATGGGGGCCCTGCGGGGAGCACGGCGGGAGCTGTGCGCTCTTCCCCACCTCCGAGGGGAGGGGGAGTGTGGGGGTGGGGGGGAATTCCTTTAAAATCGTCCCCACAGCTGGGAGGACCTTTCAGTGCCCGGGTCTGGGAAACAGAAGCCGGGCCCTGAGGCCCGACCCCCGCAGGGTCGCCTCGCTCTTCGTCTCCTCTTCGATACAGGACGGGAGACTTTATTAGCCAAACCAGGGAAGACGGTGGGGGCATCCGAAGCTATTCCCTCCTCCCCGAGGGCGGGAAATCAGATACCCCCACCCCGCGACACCTGGGAAAGGGGCGAGGGAGCCCAGGAGGGCAGTCCCGGGGTAGGGGTGGGGAACAGGGGAGTTCGTATAACCTTTGGAAAGGGATATCAGGATGGGAGGTCACGGGGAAGGAGGGGAACAGGACATATTCTTAGGCGGGGCGGGAAGTGAGGTACCCCAAACTCCGGACATGTCTGTTCCCGGGCCCACCACTTCCGTCGGGACGGATAGGAGAGTGGGCTGGGACCAACGCTCTCGCTTCCCCGGCCGGCAGCCCTCCCAGTACCTTACCTGGCTCAGAGCGCAGCCCGGGCCAAAGGAAGGTTCTGGAAGAAGTTACCCTCACCCCCCGCGGCTGTCTGCCCTCAGCTTGAGGGCCTCGCCAGCACCCCTTGTCGCGCCCCCGCCTGACGGTGCCTCTCTGAGCGCCCGCGGCCCGGGGAACGGCGTTAAGTAGCGGCTCCGAAGGCTTCTCCGGCTGCCATGGCGACGCTCCGCCCCCATAAACAGCTTTCGCTTCTGCCATTGGCCATCAGGTTTCCAAGGTGACCGCGGGCTCTGGCCACTCTGTCCGGCGGTAACTCTCTTCGAACTCCCTCCTTTTGCACCCCTCTCCCGCGCCACCCAGCCCCCTACCCGCCACCGCGGCGGGGCCGCCCGCATTCCCGCCCGAGGGCCGCGCGCAGGGCTCGGAGAAGCGCGCGGCTCGGCGCTCCCGCTGGGGCTCGGCCGCGCAGGAGAGCCGTTCGCCCCCGGAACCGTCCTCCCGCCGCTCCCTCTTCCTGGCCCCGCTGCGCCGAGGCCTCGATGGCTCCGGGGACGCACAGCCCGGGGCGCGGGCGGTGCTGAGAGCGGGGTTTCATTTCCTCTGCTCTGGGCTGCGAGCGGCACTTGCTCGCGCTCTGCGGCCCGACCCTCTCTCCCACCCTGGGTGTCGGCCCTGGTGCCCGCGGGCAGGTCTGCCTCTCCGATGCCGCCTGCCGCTCAGGACCGCTCGCAGACCCTCCAAGGCGGGTAGGGCAATCCAGTTTCCCGGTAAGCGGCTGCCTCCCTACCCACCCCACCCCCCGACATTCCAGAGGCTTCTGCGGAAGTGCACTCCCTCCTTTCCAGAAAGCGAGGAGGCAGAGCCAGGGGGTGAAACTCAGAAAAGCCACGGATCCGCCAAATTCTCCTAGTGGGGTCATTTGCCCCATTGTCAACCTTTCAGTGACAGGGACTGAGGGCGGAGGGACCGGACACGGGGACGGCGGCCCTTCCTCTTCCCCTCCCGTCCCCAGCGTTCCTGCTCCTGAATTATTGAGCAGCGTTGGCAGTTCTCCGGTTTAAGGCCAACGGTGGGGCCGAGGGCTCCTTACTCAGGCCTCTGCCCAGCAGCTGCAGGGCTGTGGGGGGGAGCCTGTGCGGTGGCCGGGAGTGGGGGGCACCTCAACTCCAGCCCAGCAGTCCGTCCTCCCCTGCCCCTTGCCCTCCACCACTCCTCCGCTCCCACACCGTCTGGAGCAGAGGCACAAAGGGCAGACGGGAGTTTCCACACACAAGCCGACTGCAGTCAACAGCCCTCCTTCCCTTGCGAACAGTTTTATTCAGTTTTAAGAATCATGCAGCAATCCGTAAATATTGCATCCTCGATGTCCCCACTGTAGCGTGCCCCCGAGCGTCACTCCAGGGAGGGAGAGGGGCACAACAATGCACACACACACTTGCACACGCCAGGTGTGCAGATCCTAAAGCGAAGTGAGCAACAAGCGTGCCGGGATCAGGTGGACAGGACAGAACTCCCTCCAGGTGAGAGGGCCTCAGGTTCACAGGCCCGTGCCCCAGAGGCGCTCCCGCGCCGGCACAAACCCTGGTGGGATGGAGCTGGGGAGGAGGAGGGGGAGAAGCAGCTTCGTGGGGCGCAGGGAGCCCCACAACATCTGGAGGCCATGGGAGAGCTCCGACCTGAGTGTGGCAGGGAGGAGTCACCGGCCTCCGGTCAGTCAGTGCCCTCGCGTGTGAGGAGCCGGGCCATCCACTCTCTCCAGGTCAACTTGCTTACGACACGAGTGTCCAGATGATGGGCGGGGCGGTGGGGCTGGCCGCCGCCCTGCTCCCTGGGCAGGCTGACTGAGGGCCAGCCTCTTTGGACAGGGTTTTACTGTTTGCCGAAGATCTAGATGAGAATAAAGAAGCGGGGCCGGGGCAGGGAGGATAGGAAGGGTCTGAAAAACAAGGACTGAAGGGCCTGTTCTATAACCAGGTGTCTGGGGGATGGAACCAAGCCCTAGCAGAATCTCCCTGGGAGAAGACACAGACCCCCCAGGAAGGGTGAAGATAATGGCTTCCTCCTAGGGTTCCTGGCCGCTGTGGCTACTGTTTACCTGCACCTCCTTCGTCTCAGGTGACACCACACCGTGAATACTACCTGCCGGGAGAGCAGGTGGGTCTGTGTCCCGCTACCCCAGGCTAAGGGACGCTCCTGTTCCCTGATGTTTCTGGGGCTCAAACTGCAAGATGAGGGGAGTTATTGCTCAGCTTGTAAATATGAATGGGACTGAAAGCACACGGGGCGGGGGGAGGGCAGGAAGCGGGCCTGAACCCGCAGAGTCCACTGCAGAGGTTGGGGAGGGGGTGCCGGCAACTCAAGAGGGCAGCCGAGAGCCGGGCTTGGCTCATGCCACATCTGTCATGAACGGGCCTCCCCCTGGACCAGGGCAGAACATGAGCCACGACCACTAGACAGTGTGAGGGTCCCCCGCCCACCTGGTGGTGCAAAGGATCCCCGGGGCCCTGGGCTCTCTGCGAGGTCCTGGAAAGGGCCCTGAGAAACTCTTCTCGAGGGACACTTCCCAATACTAAGACAAGCCATCAGGATGGGGACAGCCCAGGCTCCATAGTTCAGCCTCACAAATTGCTGGACCCAGATTTGCCTCCTGGTCCCAGGCTCCACTGAGAAAACCACCTTTCCCGAAAGCCAGTGGACAGAGCATCTGCCCGAGAGCTATGAGGGGTCCACAATGCTGGGGACTCAGCGCAGAGAAACACCCAGCAGCATGCGGGCCAGCGCAGCCTCGCCGTTGCAGGCTTCTGTTCGCACGCCCTGCACGGGGCCGGGGTGGGGTGGGCACCTGATGCAAACAGACAGCGTCTCCGAATCTCGAATGAGCTGGTGGAAGGCAATGCCTCCCCCTTCTCCTGTCGGGCTCAGGAACACGGGAAGGTTGGGGAGGGGTGAGTATGGGGGGTGGGGAGGCTCCCAGCCCACTGCTGGCCCCGGCTTGGTGCTTTCTACCACTTCCTTTGGGGCTCCGGGGTACCAGAGGCAGGGGGATCACTGGTCCACTCCTCTTGCGGCCTATTTCTTCAACTATCAAACTACTGACGGCAAGGGTGGAGACGGGGCACCAGGGGTAAGAACGCCGCCCCACAGGGCCGTCGTGCTGACACAGCTGCCCACACACGCCCCTCACACGGAGGTGGTCGAAACCACGGGCTCTGAAATGCTGCCTTAGGGTGGAGTCCCAGGCCTCCGTGGATGCGCCCTGATCCTAAGAAACCCTCCTGTGGGGTGGTCATTTAGGGGGTATTCTCCAGTTCACGGCCCCCTTCCTAAACGGACAGACACACGGGGCGCGAGACACCAGCTCACGTGCCAAAAGTAAGAACCGTTTTTTCCATCTGTCTTCTCTGTTGCCACCGTCTCTCCTGTCCTCGAGGACCAGGAAACTCCACTGAGAGTGCCATGGGGCTTTCCCTTTGCCCAGGAGTCATCCCCAACTCCCCCTTCCAACAGGAGGGTTCGAATGGGTTACGATGTCCCAGAAACCGAAGAATGCCAGGCGGATGTCTGCTGTGAAGCCACGAAGACTCCGGGGCTCTCGGTCTACCCCCAGGGAGAAGAAGGATGCTCAGGAAGCAACCAGCCTGTGGCCCTTGGCTCCCCCAGAAGGCCGAGATGCAGTGGGAACATTCTAGAGAGTCTCTCCGCAAAGGGTCTCACGAGCTGCAGCTCCTCAGGCGGTTTCAGGCCGCGAGGAGAAAGGAGGCTTCCGGTCCGTCCTGGGAGGGGCAGGATGGCGGCCGTGGAGGGAGGCGAGGCTGGGAGCAGGAGCGGGCTGATCTCCACACCTGGCTTCCGCGTGGGTGTGCAAGTCTCCGTGTGTCCTGCTGAGGACGCCCAGGCGGCCCTCGGTCCCTTGAGGCCAGGACGGGACTTGGGGACAGGAGGGAGCTCCGGCGCGCGGGGGCGGGGCCCTCAGACGGCCAAGGGACCCCAGACGCAGGGCCTGTTCTCGGCGTCCTCCAGGCTGCTGGACGACAGGCGACGGCGCTGCATGTTCCGACAATTGACCACGTTGTCGTCAGCCTGCCAGGGGCCTGTGGGAGAGAGAGGGCGGTTACAGGAGCTGGACCTCCAGCCGGGTCCAGATGGCGTCCCCAGAGGGGCGGCCCAGAAGCTCAGCATGGAGGCTGGCGGGACGCTTGTCACCTGAAACTCCCGTGCCAGCCGCGGCGTAAGCGCACGGTGGGAGAAGTGCACGCCGCCAGGTGCCGGGGCTGCGCCAGCCCCACGGGGCTACCTACAGTCACGGCCACCGTGGCCCCTGACAGAGGGACGCGCAGGGCGCTCCTCGTTTCGTGGACTCGCCCTGGGACCCGCTTTTGTGCCTCGTTAGTTCTGAAGTCGGCCTGCGTGTTGCGGTCGGACCAGGGGCAAGCAGCGGCGTCCAGCTGCGCTCCCCCGCGGGCAGGAGGCAGCGGAGCGGAGGGGGGACAGTGTGTTCCTTTGGGCCCCCAGATCGCCCTGCAGCCGGGGCGGGGCGGGAAGCGACTGGCCACCCAGCAGGGTGTGGGGGACGGTGCCTCGGCTTTGACACCCCACCGTCCCCCACCCCTGCTGCTCTCCGTCTCCTTCCGGCCCAAGCAGCCCGCCGAGGTGTGCTGTCCGCTGGGGCCATCGCCTGCAGCAGACACTGGCCTGAGAATCTTGGGGGCCCCCAGGAGTCACCTACTAACTGCCTCGCCCGCCCCCAAGTCTGGCCGCCAGGCTGGACCGTGTCCTTTCCCTTCCCTTCGTGCTCTGCGTCCGTCCCACATTCTCTGGTTTGCTCACTTCCCCGGGTGTCCGATCTGTCGTTGTCGTCGGAGCCGAGGGGCTCCACCCCCGGGTCCCAGCGCGCTGACTGTACGGGCGTGGGCAGGTCACGTTCCCACGCTAACTCTCGGGGCTGCCGGGAGGACTGAATGGAGTCACCCAGGAGCGTGCTGACCGGGGCACCCCCTGGCGGAAAGCGCCGGCACCCCAGGCTCTGCTCAGGCTGTCCCCGTCTCTCTCTCCACCTCCCCTTACTCGCCCTCCCAGCCCACTGCCTCGCTCCGCCCACCGCGCCACCCCCTCCGTTCTGGGGAGGGAGGCCGGGCCTCAGCCGCCCACGTGCTCGGGAGGAAGGCCTCCCTCCGCTGGAGCCCCCCACGCCCTGCCCTGTCCTGCCCTGCCGGGGGCGGCCCGGGGGGGCTCTGAGGGCGAAGGCTCCCCCAGCAGCCTACACGGCCACCCCTTCTTCTCACACTGTGCCCTGGCCGCCTCCACGAGACCGGCAGCTCGCCCGGGCGGGGCCGACGGCTCTGGAGGGCGGGCCTGAGGCTCGCTGCGTTCACACTCACAGACGCGTGGGGTCTAATGGCAGAAACACCGGGATTAAGGGCATAAACTGCTCGTTTCCCAGAAACGTCCTGGTGGGATAATCCCTCTAAGGCTCTAGTAACCGTCTGAGGAGGGGGACCCCGGGGGAAGAGAAGCGAGCAGAAAAGGAAATGCTGCGGTATCTCCCACTCCCCGCAGCAGGGACGGGGTAGGGGGAGGGAGCTCTGGCCCCTGGGGTGTGGTCAGCGGTGGGTTTTCCCTCACTCTTGGGGGGAGGGGACAAGGGGAGGAGCAGGCAAGGCTGCCCCCCCCATCAGGAACCCCACAGTGACGTGAGTGGCGTGTTCGTGTGCACAGTCGGGTAGGTCTCATACCTATTCCTCAATGTCTATGGGGCAGGACTCCGGAACTGCGGCTGTTCGGTGGGAAAGACCAAAAGCACATGGTAAACAGGAGAGAAGACACACACGCATGCACAAAATAAAACCACGCCGCCGCCGCCGCCGCCAGCTCACCGGCGGCCCGCCCGGACCGAGTTCGCACATGCGCCCTTGCGGCAGACACGGCCGTTCCGGGATCGGTAGCCAGGCCGACACCCCGTTCCTCCTGGGGCAGCCTCGAGTCCCAGCTCCGACGCCAATGTCTGTTCTCCCTGGCCCTGACACCTGTGCTCTGGGGCGTCCTTCCCCCCCCAAAGAATGCTGACGCGGGCTCACCAGGTCAGGGGCCAGCCTGGCCACGGAGACGAGACCCGGGAGGCTGCGGAGAACTCCTTGAGCCAGCACTACCCTACCCTCCGGTCCTGCCTGCGGCCAGAAACCGCGGCCCGGAGGTTTACAACCCTCGCAGGGAGACAGACTAAGGTGCTTTCCATTCAACTCCCATTTCGGGGAATCAGACGCAGGAGAGTGAAGAGACCTCTAGAGGTAGATTTTGGGAGCACATTTAGGGCCCTTCCTCGCGCCCCTTCCCTGGGGCTAAGTTTAAGGGCTACAGTAATAATAGCTCAACGGTGTTGCAGAGTTTCTCTCCGGGGGGAAAGACAGTCATCGGCTGTCCCCTTAGCGCCTCTGCAGCACCGACTTCCCCTGGAGCATCTCAGCCTGGGGCCGCTCGCTGCCCTGGAGTTCCAGGAGTCCGTAAGTTTTTTTTTGGATTTCGTTAGATAGGTCCCCTGGTGCTCCACGCAGTCATTTAAAACTGTATTTGCGTTTCCACTACTAAACCCAAGTTATCTTTGCTCTCTTCCACCAGCACCCTCCCCAGAGGCTCTGCACGGAATTGCCACGGGTCCCCGGACCCCGTCCCAGGTGACGGTCCATCAGAGACCACGAGCGCTTAGCATGGTCCGGAAATCCCGATCCGTCCGCCCTCCGCCTACACCTGTCCGCTGGGATTCCTCCCCCTGCAAACCTCTCAGAGCAGTCTCAGAACACACCCCCCACCCCCTTGGTTTTGGGGCCCAAGAACACCCAGAAACGTCTTAGGGGAAGAGGGCTGGAAAGACCCAGGTGCCCTCCCAGAGTCACTCCGACAAGAGTGGTGATGATGAGGACCTGCATGGTCCTTGCCACTCACGGGCTGGGCCTCGGCCTGGGTCCCCCCAGCCCACCCGTGAGCATGGGGAGGGGGATGCAGACAGGGGGCCTGACGGTCCCCAGGCTCTGCCTCTCGCTGGCCATCCGGCCGCCTGGGTCAAGCAGAGACCAAGGGCCGGGGAAGTTGTCCTGAGGCCGCAGGTCAAAAGGAGCCCAGTTGGCCGGCGGGTACCGAAGGCATCGGATGGAGGTTCGACCTCGCAGCTGAGGGAGAAGAGGCCTCTATTCCTTCCCCAGGACCTACCAAAGTGGGTACGCCTGTCGCTAGCTCAGCGGATGCTTCCAGAGAGTTCCCCAGCAGTTTCCCACCAGCATATGCTAACAGCAGAAGCAGAGAACATTCTATCTCGAGAGCTGAAAGGTCCCCCCTGGAGACCTCTGGTGAGGGGACAGTGGGACACTTCGAGCGCTTACACCCGAGTCCCCCTCCTGACAGTCGTCACAGGCGCCTGGTTCAGGTCTGGCCTCACTTGTGAGCCCAGCTTCATCTCAGGTCGGCTGGCTGCCTCCCACCATCAGCTGGAGGAGCCCCAGGGGTTCCTCGCTCCTTCCAGGTCTCAGGCCCTTCCTGCGGCCCCACAGATGGAGTACACGCCAACCAGCGGGCTGGCTGGAGGGAGTTGGGGGAAGTAGGAAACGGAAGGAATAAGCTCAAACTTCCACCAGCATGGTGGGCTAACACAGTTTCCCTCTGCCAGGAAATGGGGGTGGTGGGGAGCCCCTGGAGGGGGGCAGGAACCTGGGTTCTCTCCTGACGCCCAGTGAGCAGGCGGTGGTGCGGCTGCCGCAGGCACGGGGCGGGGCCAGGGGCGGAGCGAGGGCGGAGCCGCCCCCTTTGGCCGAAACCAATCCTTCCCTTCACCCTTGCACAGAAGCACCCCCGTTTTTCTGGAACGGGGGTTAATGTATCCTCGCGCATTTTTTTTTCTCCGAAAGTCTTTGCATACAGAGCACGGGCCCTTGGCAGTTAGGAATGGGACCCTAAGCGAGAGCCTCTCGGAGGCGCGCAGGCCCAGCAAGCGCGGGCGCGGGCGCAGCGCAGCCGGGGCGGGCAGTGTGGGCGCGGAGCGAACATGAACTTTCAGACGGAGTCCAGGTGACGGGGATGAGTTGAAAAATGAACACACCAGACAGACAGATTTACGCTTGGCACACAGACGTGGAAAACGGACGGACAGACAGCAGCGAGGTGGGGAGCAGGAGGCAGGAAGAGCAGTCCAGACCTGACTGGGTCAGCGCCAAGCGGGACATGACCCACGAGCCCTCTGAACGGCTGGAGGAAGCGTCGCCCGGGAGGCCCGGCCCTGGCCGCAGCCTGTGCGGGCGGGGCGCACGAGGACCCGTGTCTCTCGAGGGCGGATGGAGCATGGCAACCACAGGAGGCTGTGTGGCTCCAACGCCGCGGCCACTTCGCTGAACGAGTAAAGCACTGGACCCGTGATGGGACGGGGCTGCTCTGAGGCTGACACAGGTCTGCATTTCGGGGGTGCCGCGGAGGCTAGGAGCACGTGTACAGGACAATGCCGTAAAACCGGGAGGGTAAGTTGGGCCTCGCCCACTCGGGCAGGACTTGGCTTTGGAGCAGTGGCTTGCGGGGCCTGGGGCGGGCACGCGGGGCGGAGGCAGCCAGGGGCGGAGGCAGCCAGTGCCGGACACGGGGTCAGCAGCGTGCCTCTTCTGTAGGAAGTCAGCCGCGATTCGCTGTAGTGTGGTGGGAGGGAGTAAGGGGCACACTGACAGCCCCGGTGACATTTAAAGTTAGGGCTCCAGGGAGCCCGGTCACCCTCCACCCCTGACCTGACCTCTCCTTCGGGTTCCAGAGCCAGCGAGTACAATGCAACTGGTCACCCGTGGGCAGCCTCCTCCCTGATGCTCTGAAGCGCATTCCTTGGAGGGGCCTCGGGGGCCCTTTCCAAGGGCTCTCGGGCCCTTTGCAAGCTGGAGAGCTGTGTCTGCCTCACACTTCCTGCTGCTGAGGGCGAGACCAGGCCACCCGCCATGGGATCACCAAGATCGCGATGGAGGGGGCCGGCCAGGCCTGGTGGGAAGGACCGGAAGAGCTCTCCCTTCTTCCTGTCCTAACACTCTCCCCCGGGAACAAAGCTGAGGCCTGTCCCGAGGCCTCCTTGCTTCCTTCCTTTCCGCAAAGGGCTTCGGGCATCTCAGCACAGCCAGGGGCTCCTGCAGGAGCTGCAGGGCAGGAGACGGGGGGCGTCCCAGAGTGAGAGCAGGGGGGAGTGAGCAGGGGAGTGTCTCCCACCAAGTTCATGTTCAGCAGACTGCCACTCACCGGGTAAGCAGACCTCAGAGCACAGCTTATTGTCCAGTGCTTTCACGCTTGCGATGTCAAAGTCATTGTTATTGTCACACTCCATACCTAGAAATGCGCATGTCCTCTGGCCTGTAATGGAGTTAATGCAGTTAGACAGGGGCTGGCTGGATTTTTCTCTGCTTTGCTGTCCTTAAAATAAAAGTCTTAAGGATGGAGACAAAAAAAAAAATAAAATCATGTGTTTAAAAAAAAAGACAATAACTAAGTGGGTAAAGAGTGGACAATAATAGGAATCAAACTGTGCAGGCAGGTACGTGTTCTCGAGTTCTCCTGCTCTGTTCCCCTCATCGGGGCCCTTCCAGCTGCCGATCCACAGCAGGCCAGACCGCTGGGGGGTGGGGCGGGGGGCTGCTGACGGGGTTGCAGGCTCCTCAGGGCACGTGACCCACGCGGAGCTCTGCCAGAGGCGGGGACCCGCTGGGGGACCCGCTGGGGAAGCCGTCCTGCCCCTGCCTGTGTCTGCCGGTGCTGTGGGGTGTGCTTAGCACCAGAAGGCTCTGCAAATGCTAAATGCTAGAACCAGAACCACCACGGAAGGTCTTAAGGTCCATAGTTTTGCATATCCAGTCAGAGTCAGCACGTGCACAAAATTATGATTTATTTGCTTTGGAGGATTACGAAATGTGTTATGTCGAGTACGTTTTCACGGACTGACTTGAACCCTACGGACATACGAGAGGGGAAGGGGAAACTTTTAGAAGTTACTTTTTCCAAGCTCCCTCTTTTTTTTTTTTTTTCCTTGGTGAACGGGAGAGGAGGAACCATAACCCGCCGTGCGGGCTGTGGAATGTGGGGCGGGAACACCGGCGGCCCCGCGCCTGTCGGAAGCGAACACTCTGGGTGGGGGGGGCGCAGTCCCAGAGGGGGCCTTGAGCACCGAGGCCGTCACTCTGGTCGACGAGGCGCCCGGCGCCGTCTGGGGCTGGCGTGCGAATGTGCGGCGGAGGCTCAGCCGGGGCGGCCATGCCCTCCTTCAGGGCGACTTGGCCAGGCCGGAGTGGTCAAGTCCGCATGCACGCCCCTGAACTCCCAAGCAACGGCCAGCGCTAAAGCAGAAGCAACTAGGATGACATCTGCGCCCCGGCCGGCGTCCGGGTCCAGGTCTGCTTTGGAGGCGCCTTCCTGCGGGAGGCGCCTCAGAGCAGCGGAGGGAGACGCTCTGGTTCCTGGAACCCGTCGAAGTCCATCCCCAGGTGGGACATCCCCCGGTGGGACGTTCCCGGCCCACCCCTCCTTCCTACTGGCCTTGCTCCGGGGATCACCCCTCCCCTGCCAGCTGTACTAGAAACAACGTTCTTCCGACGGAGGCGCTGAGTCCTGCGTGAGCGCAAGGACACCACCGAAGCAGCTCCGGAACACTGGACACTGGCCCCTGCCCCTGCCCCTGCCCCTGCCCTGCCTTCCCTGCGCCGCGGGCTCCTGAGGCCCCGTTAATGGGACGCCAGCCGCTTTCTCGGCTACAGCAAAACCGCACCGGCAGCCTGGCCGTCCTTCCCCTGCCACTCAACGTGGGGGCTGCACAGCCGCGGCGGGCAGGGAGGCCTCGGGAGCTGCCCGAGAAGCTTCGGGGCCCGTCCGGTGTAAACGGAGAAGTGCGGGGTCGCCCGCGGCACCCTCCTCCGGGCAGCCTTGGCGCGGAGCCCAGGAGGAGCCGGGAGGCCGCTGGCGCCCTCCGGCACCCTGCGGGCATTGCTGCTCCAACAGGAAGACGACCCTTCCCCAGTGGCACACCGAGGAGGGGTGCCGCCCACGCGCGCCAGTGCGCCCCCTGCAGGACCCTTGGAAGAACACCCGGGAAAGAACAGAACGAGAGGGGAGGGGTGCCGCCCACGTGCGCCAGTGCGCCCCCTGCAGGACCCTTGAAAGAACACCCGGGAAAGAACAGAACGAGAGGGAGCAAAAGAGACCAGGTCTTTTACCATCTTCTTGGGTGGGGGATCCATCGTCTTCCTCCATCACGTCGTTCCCCTGCAATGGAAGGAAGGCGCGGTGAGTCTCCCGAGCCGGCGAGGGAGGGCGGTCGCCCTTGGACCATGCGGAGGCTGGGGCGCCGACCAGCCGCACCGTCGGAGGACGTCCACGGGCACTGCCGTGGGCCCTCTGCGCGCACGCTCCGGGGGGCGGGGGGCGGGGGGCAGGCTGAGGACACCGCGGGCCCTGGGGCCACGCGGCGTGCCCTGTGCTGGTCGGGGCTCGGCTGCAGGAGCACTGTTCTCAGGCTGTTGGGACGTTGCTTCCACATGTACCCTCTATTCGGCTCAAATAAATTGTTATAAAAATTTAAAAATGGCCCTGGCTGGCGTAGCGCAGTGGATTGAGCGCGGGCTGCGAACCAAAGCGTCGCAGGTTCGATTCCCAGTCAGGGAACATGCCTGGGTTGCAGGCCACGGCCCCCAGCAACCGCACATTGATGTTTCTCTCTCTTTTTCCCTCCCTTCCCTCTCTAAAAATAAATAAATAAATCTTTTTAAAAAATTTAAAAATGGAAAGGCCCAACTGTATATTCATGGGCTGAAGGCTGAAGGAACCCTCCTGAAGAGGTTTCACTCCAGGGCTGTCAGGCAGAGGCAGGCCCGGCCCGGGAGGCCCGGCAGGCTGGGGGAGACCAGGTCCGAGGCGCGGTTAGCGGGCCCGCCAGGCGTGTCAGCAATGGCCTGGGTCGTGGTTTCACATGTCCTGCTTTCTCAGATGGCGATAAAAGGCCAGTGAAAAAGCAGAGAGGGGGATCTGAACACTTTCTGGAATCCCCGAGGGCTGCGAGCCCTACCCAGACACTCCTGTGAGAACATGGGGCTCAAGACAAAATTCTAGAGGAAAAAAGAAAAAATTCTAGAGCTTTCCCTGAGGGCTGGGCATTCCACGACCCTCCACACACCTGGGTCAAGGCACTCCTTGGCTGAATTGTGACCAGTCTCCCCGCCCCCATTGGTACAGAGGGTGGGGGGCAAGCAGAAACCAGGTCGCTTTGCTGGCCCCGGTGCCAGGAAGCGCCCGAGACACAGCCATCCTGTGTAAACAGTCACTAAGTGACCAAGGACAGACCCAGTGTCAGGCCCAGGGTCTGGAGGGTAAGAGTTCCCCCCTCCCAACTCCCTCCAGGCATTAACTGAGACCAGTGCCCCCTGCTGGCCGGACGCGCCATCGCCGGAGCGTGCAGCTGCCCTGGTCCCCTGTACCACCCGGGATCCAAATTCCACCTGGGACAGCCCCATCCTATCTGCCTCCCCAGCCAGTGCCGCGGCCCCCGGAGGCGTTACCTCTGCATCCTGCTCTTCTGCGAGGCCCACAAAGTTGCTGTCTGCAGATGCCGCCACCTGCAAAGGAGTGACAGGGTGATGGCACAGACAGACACCCTGCTGGCCTGGCAGCAAACCCAGCCCCCCCGCCTCCAGCCAGAGGTGCAACAGAGGCGGGTCTGAGGGGGGGCCTGGGGTCATATACCCCCTCGTTGCCATGGCTCCCCTCCCAAGCATGGAGTCCGCAGGGGTCCCCGGCAGATGCCGCAGTGAGCTGCCTGGGACTCCTCGCACAGGGTGGGCGGCCCTGCACCCCCCTCACCTCTCCTTCCTCTGAGGCGGCCCTGCTGTCGGCCAGCGGGGAGGGGAAAGCCTCTCCCTCGTCCTCGGTGCCGGTGCCGGTGCCGGGGGCGATGTAGGAACCCGACATGGAGGAGACGGTGTCGGTGCTGATCTGGGAGTGCCGGCTCTGGGAGGACACCATGGACATGACCGATTGGGCCAGACTGCTGCTGGCGGGGTCTTTGGAGACAGGAGGTGGAGGGAGGAGACGGAGGTCAGGCACGGGGTCTGAGAGCCGAGTGAGGAGCGCGAGCGCTCCCTGCACCGCGCAGCGAGGGCCACGGTGGCCCGGCCTCGCCCTCACCTAAAAGGGTTTCAGGTGTAAGGTTTCCCACGGTTCTGCTCCTTCTCACTGAGAGCTCAGAACTCCACCTCGGGGACCGGGGTCGGCGGGACTGGGAGTGAGACAGCTGCCCGCCCCCGCCCCAGCTCAGTGACACGGCCACCCCCATCCCAGGGGAGGGAGCCCCTCTCTCTCTATGGGGGGCCTACACCTCATGCAGCTGGCTTAGGTGTTAACAAGCGGCCCCCAGGTCTGTCTCGGGGAACCGGGCTGAGGGGAGAACGTGAGGTCCCTCCCTGCTCCCACGTGTACCTTCCGGGGAGGAAATGGTGGAAGACAGAGGTGTCCCCGTGCAAGACGACTGGTCAATGCCTCCTGACGACGACAGGGTCAGGTTCTCGCTGTCCGGAGTGACGCCACACTCCTGGGGGGGGGGGGGAAGGCGGGTCAGACACAGTGGAGGACAGGGAAAGGGCAGGGGGCATGGGGAGAGGGGAGAGGAGAGGGGGCCCTGGGAGGGACTCGGGTCCCCACTGGCACCACATCAATGACACCCAGAGGCGGGCAGTTTCTCTTCTGTCCCTGCTGCTCTCCGGCCCTGGCACGGCTGTCTCCCAGGGGAGGTGCCGCCTGCAGTCGGCACGGCCAGCCAAGGCACAGCGTCTGCTGGGGCCACACAAAGGCAGCAGCTCAGGTGACATAGGTCACCCAGCAGCTGTGACATGGGCACACCCCAGGTCTCCCTGGGATTAAAAACAGCTTTTCTTCTGAAGGAGAAGAATACAAAAGCGGCAGAGGCCGCCAGGCCGGCTGGGCGCCTCCACGTGGAAGCCGGGTTAGTTCCAGCCCAGTGGGGCAGACACAGCACCGCCCTTCCCCCAGCCCGCCCCTGGCAATGCCGCCCCCCACATCAGTCACCCCGGCAGGCGACCTCGCCCCAGCTGGGCAGGCGCCCAGCCTTCCGTGTTCTGTCTCCACGGCCCATTCCTTTTTGACCTTACACCCGGCCTCGCCTCCGCCTGGGCTCCTGCAGCATCTCCTGGCTCAGCCGGCCTCACCTTCCCCCCACCTCCACCCCCTCCACCCCCTCCACCCCCACACTGCCCACAGCAGGGCCTTCAGGACACGGAGCTCTCCCGGAACCACGGACCTGCTCAGAGCCCGCACGCCCCCTCCCACCCCCAAGGTCCGGCTCGCCTCACCTCGGTCCTCATTTCTCAAACTTCTGAGACTCGGCTCCGAGTGGGCTCTCCCTCGCACCTTCTCCTGGTTTCCTGCATTTGACCTCTGCTGCCCCCCTGCCGCCGCACTGTCTGGTCCCTGGCTGGGGCGCACTATAGAGTTCAATTCACGCATTCGACAAACACCTAACTGAGCCACCGCTTTGTGTGCCAGGCACGGTGCTGTCCTCTGTGCACTGGTCCTGCCCCTGCTGGACGTCGAGTCCCTCAGGACGGGACCCTCCCTGTCACCTGTGCGTGCTCCACGGCCCCCAGCTCCCTGCCTTGCCGGGAGTGGCTGTAATGACCCCCTGTTAACTGAAGTCTTTGAGGGAAGCACCTGCCCCCCACCCCCCGCCGCATGGCCTCCCGAGGCCCTTCTGCCTGCCGGGCCTGCGCCCCCGGCGTCTGCAGAGCTCGCTGTCACGCCGCCTCCAGTCTCACTCACGGGCCGCTTCTTAAAGACAGCCACCCCACCTCTCGGCCCGACACCCGCTTTCTCCCCTATCCGTCCAGTGACCCACAGTGCCCTGCACGTGAGTTTTTATTTACTGCCTTTTGTCTCCCTGCACCCTGCCCCTGCCCCGTGACCAAGAACAGAAGCACCGTGCCCTGGCTGGTGTGGCTCAGTGGACTGAGCGCCGGCCTGTGAACTGAAAGTCTCCAGTTCGAATCCCAGTCAGGGCACATGCCTGGGTTACAGGCCAGGTCCCCAGTAGGGGGTGCCTGAGAGGCAACCACACACTGATGTTTCTCTTTCTCCCTCCTTTCCCCTCTCTCTAAAAATAAATAAAAAATCTTTTAAAAATCAGAAAAGAATGTAAGCACCGCAGGCGGGGCTTTGGCAACCTCCCCACTGCCACTGTCCTCAGCCCGTGGAACGGTCACAGGTGGAGGACACAGGCCCCACCGTGAGTGAGCGAGCAGAACAAAGCCTTTGCTGCCGGCGCAGAGAGCGTTCAGGGACGCTGGGGAACGAGCGACTTGCAGGAGAAGCAAGTACTGGAGCCCGACACCCAAGCCAGGGAGGGCCGTGCGGTTACCTCTTCGAGCTGCTGAGCCGACGGCCTCTGAGACAGGTGCGTCTCCGATTCACTGCAGGAACGCTCATCCTCCTCCTCCCGCAGCACGGAGGAATTCTGGGAGACGGACCTGCAAAAGCCCGAGGGGCTGGCAGTGAGCCCGCAGCCCCCAAGAACGCCAGAAAAGGAGGGCGGCAAGGGAGCAGGGCGGCGCGGGGGCCCTGGGCAGGGACCAGGACCTCTGGGTCCGGTGCAGGGAGCGGGGGGGGAAGGTGCACAGAACACCTGCATTTTCTCTGCAGCTCCCTCCGTAACTTGTGTCTGAACTTGAAAATGCCACTGACAGTTTTAGTGTCTTAATATTTTTGTCTATAAAATGCCTTCCTTGGGCCCTGGCTGGCGTAGCTCAGTGGATTGCGCTCGGGCTGGGAACCGAAGCATCGCAGGTTCGATTCCCAGCCAGGGTACATTCCTGGGTTGCAGGCCAGAACCCCCAGCAACCGCACATTGATGTTTCTCTCTCTCTCTCTCTCTCCCTCCCTTCCCTCTCTAAAAATAAATAAATAAAATCTTTAATAAATAAATAAATAAAAGATTAAAAAAATGCCTTCCTTTATCACGACTTGTGCCTAGCTGGACTTAAGTGCTCTAAAGAGACCGGTTGTGACTCAAGGTTGCTCTAGTCTTCAGGCTGAAGGGTGCTCCCTGTCCCCGCCCCCACGGAGAGAATGCATGACACGCTTGTCCATCTGGATCCCCCCAAGGGCCCGAGTGCTTCTTGTTTTCCTCTCCCGAGGGGCGGGACCAGCTACCCGCAGGTGTTGGCCCCAGGTCCTCAGTGAAACGGGAAGCTCTGGGAACAGCCCAGAGGGTCCACCTGCCCTGGGCCCCCAGGACGGGGAGGCCAGCGCCAAGGAGATGAGGGGTGGCGGGACGCCCCCCCCCCCACCAAGGACCCCGGGCCGACACGGCCGGGCGCCGGCCACTCACTTGGAGAGACTCCGTTTGAGCTTCAGTCCTTGGCTGCTGCAGTCGGACAGGCGGTCCAGCGGGGAGAGAGTCCTGACGGGGGGCAGGTGGCCTTCGCTGCCGTAGGCAGGCAGCATCCCCGACAGGTGGCCGTCTCCAAGCACGTGGAGCGGGGGGATCGCTGGGGAGGGCGTGAGGGGCCCGTTGAGGGCCTCCAGGAGAGATACCACTTCGTAACCGGGCGGAATGTTCTCCGAGGACTGGGGAGCAGACGGGTTGAAGAATGAATGAAAGGCTCTTCGTTTAACGGAATGATGCATTTCTTACTCTGCACTGGAAAAACGTCTTTTTTTTTTTACATCGGGTCTGGGGGTCTGTGAAAAAAGCTTCGGTACTAGAGGCCAGAGCAAGCTAACATGCCAAAGGACCCCATATTCCCAGCTTCTGCTTATAGAGCAACTTCTAAACGTTTGTTTTTTTATCATAATAGAAATATACAAGAAACGTTTGTTACAAGAAATCTGGAAACTACATAAAAGTAGAAAGGAGGGGGAAACCCATCAATAATCAAATCACCCAAAAGAATAACCTTATTCGCATCCCCCGTACTTCCCCAGGTTTTCCTCTCCCCTGTTCACACAGGGACAGACCATCTGTCAGTGACAGTTTTGTGACCTGCCTGTCTCCCCAAACAGAAGCATTTTCCTTCACACGTGTCCCCTTTGCAAAGACAGTGAGAGTCCCTGACGGTCCCGCCGGCGCTGGGATTCAGCTGTGCCTGATACTTCTGACTGTGAACATTCTGAGGAGAGTTCTTGTGTGTAAATCTTTTTTTTTTAGATTATTTTCTTGATATTAAATTCGTGGACCTTAGAATACCAAGTATAAATGTGTATAAGGCTCTTGGTACATATAGTTGTTTTGGTGTTTTTTTTCAACGATCTTTCTAGTTACACTCCCAAGAGCAGAACGGAAAACCTGAAAAAGGTTTTCCAATTTGAAAGGTAAAAAATGGCATCTCATCTTAATTTGCATAGTGCAGATTTTTAATGGGGTTGACTTGAAAAAAAAAAGCGACTGTTAACCCACTATGTTTCCTCTTCTGAGAATTTTTTTGGTTATTCGTTGAGCCTTTATCTGCTGTTCACATTCCCACGAATCTACTCAACCACCTACAGCGAAGCTCTGCGCCTCTGCTCTGATGGAAACGCCGTGAACACATTTTTTTTTCTTTAAAGGGTTGGTTGGTTGCCATTTGACTTTGTCATCTTTCACACCTCGGAAGCTTCACAATTTTTATGCAGTAAAATCTGTACGGTCTTTTTTTCCTTTTAGGCTTAGAGAGCCTTTCCGGCCCAAAGTCCACCGGAGAGTCACTGGTAATTTATCCCAGGCTTTTAAATGTTTTGCTTGTTTGCTTTGCCTGTAACATAGTTCACTCGTTGCTCCACGTGGAATTCGTTACCTGGTGAGCAGCAAAGCGCTAAACGGAGGACTTTTCCTCCCCAAACAGCTAACGGATGACGCTGACACCACTTCCTGGCTGGCAAACCCTCCCACTGGTGTGTGAATGGAAGGCAGGCTGGCATCTGCCGGGCTGTACCCACAAGGTGCCTCCGAGCCTTCACTCCGCCATCCTGCCTTCGCTCCGAGGCCAGGAGAAGGGTTTCATCTGCTCAGCTCCCAGCCCCTGAAGCCGTGAACTGGGATAAAGAAAAGCGCCCCCCCACCCCCCAACTTCGAGGATTCCGATATGGACAGTAAACAGCATTCCAATCTGAAACAGCGCCCCCTACCGTGTCTGCATGGGCACGTTCCAGAGCGGCCCCATTGGGGGAAGGCCGGAGGGCTCCGGGCATGCTCAGTGCCGGCCGGACGCCAGGTTCCCAAGCAGGGCAGGGGTGCGACGAGCAGCGCACTCTCTCCCTGGCGATACAGCTCAGTTCCAACGAAACCTGGTGGCAGCCAGCTTACTAACTCCCCCCGCTGCCAGGTCTGATTACTTGCTGCCACGTCGGGTACCCCCCCCGTGAGGGGACACAGTGCTGGCCCGGCAGGGGCCGTGCTCCTGAGCCAGACTCACCGAGTGCTCTTCCGAGTCGGACGTCTGCGAGGAGATGATGGGGTTGAAGCTGGTTGGGGACAAGGGGCCCAGTTTTTTCCTCATGGCTCGGATCTGAAGCAGAGCCCGGAAGGCTGTGCGGCAGGAGAAGGACCGTCAGGAGGACAGCTGGGGGCGGGAGTCGGACAGACGCTGTGACCCCCTCCCCCCAGAGCCCCCGCTGCGCCCACCCTCGGGCGGGGGGGGGGGCTTACGCAGTCGGCAGATGGGGCAGTTGTTGGCCTGGTAACGCAGCGTGTCTGCGCAGGTGTTGCACAGGCAGAGGTGGCGGCAGGGCAGGATCAGGGTGTCCCGGACGTCCGAGAGGCACACCACACACTCCGCGCTGTTGTCGCTCACCTCGTCCTCCGCCACCTGGCCGGGGGGGGGGGGGGGCGGGGCTGGTGAGGGAGACACGGACTCTGTGCGCGAGGCGGTCGGTCTGCCGGAAGGGCTGGGGCGGGCCCTGCACGTTCACGCACCCCGGGCTCCTGGTGCACCGAGTGCGTGCGTTCACAGACTCGAGCTCACTGGTTCCGGGAACTGCCCTCTCGGGCTCCTCCTATGAGTCTCAGGTCTGGCTCCCTCCGGCCATCGGAGCCGCGGGGCCCAGGAGACCACCCAGGGAGAAGAGGGGTTTGCTGCTCAGTATCCAGAGAGCCCGGCCAGCAAACGCGGGCACGGGGTTTGCATTTCCCAAGCGACCCAAGTGTGGCCGTCCGGAATGCGGAGCGGGGAGCTACCCTGCCAGGGCCCAGCCGAGTCCGGGGCCTGGCTCCCGACATCCCCGGACCCCCGCCTCCTCGGAGGTTTTTCTCACTCTGCCCCTTGGGAAGGACACATTATGGAGAATTTCGGGCAGAACTTGCCTTGGACTCTTGCGTGTTGTACTTGTTTTCAATCCCATAGATCTCCTGGAGGAGGTAGCTGACCCCGTCTACCTGAGAGCGCACAGAGAGGGAAGTTGCAGGGCCGCCGAGAGATAAGGGTGGGAACCCACCCCCACCCCCCCACCCCCCCACCCCCCCACCCCCCACCCCCCCCCCACCGCCCTTGGACCGGAGGACCCCAGCATCACCACGAAAAGACAAGCGAAGGGTGCTCTCATTCACTTGGGTTTCCTCTTTGAGAGGAGAAAGGAAATCGGGGGCTTAAGTCCCCAGCGGGAAGCACAGAGGCTCACGGGCACAGCCACACCTGTCCCGCCCTCGCTACTGCCGACAGTTCGGAAAGGCGCAGGCTAGAAAAAGATGGAAGGATCTGCCTCAAAAGATGACATCAGCGATGACACCAAAATTGGGTTTGGGCATCATAAAAATGAAGGAACAGAAGGGAAAGAAAGAGGAGAAGAAATGGGCAAGGAAAAGAGGGGGGGCGCCCTTCACTGCCACGGAGTTTCCACCACGTGGCCAAAGCCCGCCTCTCGGCCTTGTTTCCTGAAGCTCCGACGTGGACCCCCAGTGTCGCTGCCGTGGATGGGGGCCGCGTGGGCACGAAGCTGGCCCTCCCCTCGTTTCCTTACTGGGGGGGCTCTCCACTCCCCTCCTCTGCTGGCCTCTCCCCCCACCCAGCCTGTCACCGCTTTTGTAACCCACTCTCCAGGATGACGAAGTCTGCGAATGCCATCTAGCAACGGAGACAGAGGAATCACTTTCCTCGGGCGAGCCCAGCCGTCGCCCACCCTCTCCTGGCCCCCTGGGGAGCTGGGCCTCCCGCGGGTGCTGGCCTCCCCAGGCGGCACCCTGGGCTCAGGCTCTGTTTCCTCCTCTGCCTCTCTTAACACCCCTTTTAACTCAGTGGCTACATGACAAAGGACATGGGCAACCGATGTACAGGAAGGTGTGATAGACTACTAGTGACCTTGCTAAGAGGGGACAGCACTTAAGCACCAAAATGGAATAATGCAGGATTTCACATGCCCCATCGCCCACGGGAGGTGGCCTGCCAATGTCACGGGCACCCACCGCCCCCGCCTCAGCCTCCATGACTCTCCTCCTTTCGCAGCAGCGGCAGGCGGGCAGTGAGGCCCCAGCTGGGCAGGGCCCCTGGCAGACGCCCGCACGGCTTGCTCATCGTTCTGGAGGGGCGGGCGGCCAGCACACTCTGACTTTTGGAAACGCGCTGGTCAGATAAATTAAGCCAAGGGCTCCAATTGGCCCCGAATCGGACACGGGCATTTTATCCTTTAGCTTAAAATGTGTCAGGCCTGGCATTTCAGATAAATGGGGCTTCTCCCCAAACCTAATGCCAGGAGACAAATCGGGTCCTTTCACTTCGAGAGGCCTTCGCCCAGATAATGGCTGACTCCACACCAACCGTCCTGGGACAAGAAAGGCACCGAAAATTCAGCATTCCTTCCAGGCCGCCCAAGCAGTTCCTGACATATAAAAGCATACCCTTTTGTCACTCTTTGATTTACAAAGGCGGGGGGGTGGTTGGGAGGGAAAGAAGTGTGCTTAGTGAAGAGTAAATGAGAGAGAGAAGGAAGGGAGAGGGAAGGGAGGGAGGGAGGGAGAGAGGGAGGGAGGGAGGGAGGGAGGGAGGGAGGGAGGGAGGGAGGGAGGGAGGGAGGGAGGGAGGGAGGAAGGGAAGGAGGGAGGGAGGGAGAGAGGGAGGAGGAAGGAACTGCCAACAGTCCCGGCCTTCCAATACTCACTACTTGTTTCTGTTTGAGGGGCTTGACACAGAAGGTCCCGTCCGTGTGCTGGAATGAGAACGGGACAGTTGTGACAAGGGGGGAGGCCAGAGCGCCCGGCTGTTCACTGTCACTTCTCCCGGCTGGGCATGTTCTGGGACACCCGCCGCGCGGAATTACAGACCCCCACCCCGGGGCTGGTCAAACCCTTCCCTTTGAGGAGGGGGAAACGAGGCCCACCGGGTTGAAGGTCACGCGCAACTGGGTGGCAGAGCCGGGGCTCAACCCCGGCGTAGCCCCCAGCCTGTTCCTTCGACACCCCCAACCCCAGCCTCCTGGGCCCCCATCTGCTGAGCTCTGGCGGCCGGCGACAAGGGCGACTCCCGTCCTCCCACGGAGGGGTCGGACGTGCCCACGTGAGGCCCGCGGAGCCACTCGCGTACCTTTTCAAAGGTGCCCAGCAGCACGTGACAGTGGCCAAAGTACTCTGGAAGAAAGAAGGGCGCGTGGGTGAGGGAGGAAACCGAACGATACACTTGGATGCCCGCCGACCTCCCCGGCTCCCCGCCACCCGGCACACGTCCGGAGCTCTCGCGCGTGACAGGGGCACGGTGTGGGACCCGGCGGTGGTCCTGTCACCCGAGGGCCCTGGGGACTCGAGTGCGGGGCAGGGCTGTGTGGACACTGCCCAAGCGGCCCCCACGGAGGAGACCACGCTGCCCCGGGCCTTGCGCCACGGGAGGGCAGGGTGTCGGCAGGGGAAGACAGAGGGCCCCCGTACCGTCTCCTTCGTCCACTACTGCGTGCACCACCAAGGGGTAGACCTCCCGGTCCAGATCGAAGCCGAGCTGGAGAGAGAGAGCGGAACGTAAGAGCGGAGAAGGACTTCTGCGTTCAAGTGGCCCAGGAGCCCACCGGAGAGCGGGGCACTGCGAGACCCTCATCTCTGCTCCTCCTCCGGCCACCACGGAGCTGCCCGAGCCCCTCGGACGGACGGCCCCAGCTTCTTTTTAAAATGTCACAGACGAGCCCTGGCTGGCGTAGCTCAGTGGATTGAGCGTGGGCTGCGAACCAAAGTGTTGCAGGTTCAATTCCCAGTCAGGGCACATGCCTGGGTTGCAGGCCATGACCCCCAGCAACCGCACATTGATGTTTCTCTCTCTCTCCCTCCCCTCTCTAAAAATAAATAAATAAAATCTTTAAAAATAAAAATAAAAATAAAATATCACAGACGGCAGCCCCGGAACCCCCAGGTGCTCTGAGCGTGGGTCTCCTGACACTCCCTAAGGGGCTTGGGGGCGAGTTTGGATAGAAAAATGACGAGGTTAGGTGTATGTATCCTTTTACGAGTGTGAAGATGTTACAAGGCTGAAGGTGAGCATGACCTTCGAGCACCCGGGCGGTCCGTGCGCTGCGGGCCGTGGTCCTAACCAGCTCCCGGGCCCGCCCAGGGGTCCCCCTTCTCCCAGCAGCCCGCCCCCTGCGGCGGCGGCAGCTCACCTCGTCCTCCGCCCACTCGGACAGGTCCACCGTGTGCGAGGGCAGGCAGAACTGCTGGCACACGCCCCGCTTGAAGTGCACAGTCTCCGACTGCAGGCTGTTGTCTTTGGGGATGTAGCTGCCAGAGCAGGAGGCAAAGCCAAGTCGGCACGCGCGGCCCCGATGAACCCGCCCCTTTGCGCGGCCCCGAAAGGACCCGCCCCTTCCCCCCTGCTGGTGCGGGTTCTCAGTGGTCCGCGGGCCCGGGGCATGGAGGCGGCTAGACCAGACCTCCTTGGTTTCGGTTTCCTTCGCTTCTGCTTGGTAGTGCCACGCAACCTATCCACGCAGCCCGCTCGGCCACGCAAGGGCGGCTTAGCGGGGCTTTCGAGGCTTCTTAACGACCCGAAGGGCTGAGCGGCCATCCGCCGCCGCACCCACGTGGCTCAGTTGAGAGGGAAAAGGCGCAAAGTGGGTGGGGCTCGGTGGGGGGGGATTCAAATTCGAGAGCCAGGTCTCACCGGGCTGCAGAAAAGGAACGTTGTCCTCCCCAGCCGAGCACGCAGGGCGCAGGCCCCGACCTGGCTGGGAGGAAGGGGCTGGCCGGCCTGTCGCCCGTACCTGGCGATGCCGTTCTGGAACTCCTCGGTGGCCTGGTAGTAGATGGTGATGGCCACGCGGGCGTCGGTGTCAAAGGTGAACTCCACGTTGTAGTGGACTTTGGCCTTGCCGGCCTCTTCCCCAGGCGTCTTCACTTCCTCGGCGCACCTAGGGAACCGGGGAGACGGCGTTGGGCGCCCAGCAAGTCACTGTTTTAAAATGTATCTTTTGGTTGTTTTTTTTTTTTAACTTATATTGTGGGCTTCTCTCCGTGACCCCGACCTCTGGCCTGCACCTCCCCCCGGGGACGCCCGCGGAGGACTCCACGGCGCTGCCTGCCCTGGGTGCTGGGTGCTTTCTGACATTCCACGGCGCTGCGGCTGACGTCCGTGCGCACCTGCCGGGCTTTGTTTTTAGTTTTCATTGTGATCGCCATTACTGGTCACACCATTTCAGACTCCCACTGCCAATAGCCCGTCTTTCCACAGGCTTGCTGAGGTAGCTGCAAGATTCACTTTTCCCCTCAATAATTCTTTATTTGTTTGTTTTTTAAATGCATGAAGTAGAGCCGACAGTGACTCTTCCAGGAAAGGAACGTTCCCCACAAGCACAGGCTGTGCTGTGCAGTCTGACTGGCCCAGACGCAGAGAGCCCCGATCTCAGTGGACGCGGTCAGGCTCGGCACCGGGCACCGCCGTTCTGGGGGGATCCTCTCTAAGGGGCGTGGCTGCCCCTGCCCACAGGAGGGCACCCGCCCCTGGCGCCTGGCCCGAGCGCCGGGGACTTACTTGACCAGCCTCAGCGTGTCCTTCCGAATGTTGATCAGGCTTCTCAGAGTCTTCACGGGCTCTTGGGGCGGGGGCGCAGCGTACGGAAACTGCCGGAGACAAAGCGGGAGAAGGCTGTGTGTTTACAGAGACCGGTGACTGTCCCTCGCCCGTACAGGGCTTCTCGGGTGACAAAGAACAGCCTTGCGAGGCGGGGTGGGCAGGCGCCAGTCTCCCGACGACGGGAGGACAGTGACGTCTGACCTGTCAAGCGAGCTTGCTCAAGGTCACGGCTAGGAGAACTGGGATCTGAACTGGCATCGGAAGAGCGAGATTTCTCTGCTCCCCCAGTTCCGTGCAGCTCACCTGAGTCAGCGCTCAGAATGTGGGTAACTAATACGGGCGCCCACTGCAGTCCCACATACCGACGACACACCGTGGCCGCGTTAATCACGAAAGGCTTTTGCTTCTGACTTTGGATGGCGGGGAGCCAGAGCAAGGTTTGCCCTTCAGTGAGACCACGTGGGGTCTTAGGAATTTGGGGGGCTGCGAATGAAACAGCTGGCCTGCAGCAGTCAGGGAAAAGCCCACGCTCCCTCGGCTGACCGTGGGCAGCAGCAACCTTTCACACGCGAGCCGAGGGCCCTTCTGGCGCCATCAGAGGTTTGGGGTTGTCCAGCATGTACCTTACACGTTCACTCTTGGGGCTCTGAGTCGCGGAGGTTGAGGACATAAGAAAGGAGAACCGGTAACAAATTGAACCGGGAATGGCTTTCGGAAGATCAAGAATGATGTAGAGCGTTCCCAGTATCGTTCTGAAGGTTTGGGGGACGATAAACGATCTTTGCCTATAATTCAGGGAAAGCCCACGAGTCTGTGTGCTCCTTCGGGCGTCTGTCTACCTCCTGGCACTGGCTGCAGGGGCTCCAGCACCCGAGTCTCACCCCCGTGTGCCTTCCCCGGCGTCTGCTGAACGTGGCTCTTGTGCCGGGAAAACACAGCCTACAGCACCTGCGGTTTTCGGGACTCAGCACGACCGCCGAGACTTCACGGGTATGGCTGCGGCCCTTAGGAAAATGCACCCAATCTAAATCGGCAGGTGGGCGTCCAAACGACCCACTCTGTGGGCATCGAATAGCAACATTTCATTTTGTTCACTGATCCATTAAACTTGTATTCTTATAAAATGCATGCAGTTGGTTTCTCTAATGACAAAGTCATACACATGCAAGCAGAAAACTTGAAAAACACAAAGTGCAAAATTGGCCATAATGTCACCACTCGGTGACACCGCGGTTGACGCTGGGGAAGGTCTTCCCCCCCCGGAACTGGGCCTCCACCCCCTGCAGCCCCCCTGCCGCCCCCACCCCCTCTCTGCAGCTACACGCCGGTTCCAACTGCGTGCCCTGTTTCACGGCCTCTTTGTCCTTAGAAAGGCGTGGCGAACATTTTTAAAGTCTGTAATTTGACGACACGACCACACACACTAGCAATAGGAACATATGTGCCTTAATCCGTTCCACATTCTTCGATGTTTAACGTGCATTGGTTTTGCTTTTTTATTTTATTTTTCCGCTGCTGTAAGTGTTGTGGCGAGTGCCTCGCTCCCACATTTCTGCATGCTGGTGTGATTCCCTCCTTAGGACAAAGTCCGGGATGTGGAGTTACTGGATCAAAGAGTAAGCATATTTTTGAGAGCCTTTGAAAATATTTTTGCCAAGCTGTTCTCCAGAAAGCTGATTCCAATCTTCTCTCCTGCCAACAGTGTATCAGGAGGCTCTTACCTGGGCGGGCCGAAATCCCGGGTCACCCCGCATCTGTGGCCGATCCCCCCACCCCACCGGGCTGTCACACTGAAGGAATTTAAAACAATTTTAAAATAAGCTTAAGTAAAAAGTAATTAGGCAGGAAAATCTGACATAAATGCTAGTCTATTCTAAAGCCAAAATAAATGACTTTGGGATTAAAATCTTTTTTTTTTTTCTGGAGTAGCAAAGCTAATCATATACACTTGCACAGGTACTTGGGAGTGAGCCACAACTCCTCCTGAGTGAAAGAAAGGAAAGAAAAAAAAAAAAAGGAAAAAAAGGGTCCTCCACACTCTCCAAAACAAGAAAAACAATCGGGAGGGCAGGGTGGGGGGGAACAAAACCTGTGTTCTCAGCCTTCCGTTTACACTGTTGCCCGAGCCTTAACCCTCTGTCGGCAAGGCTCAGGCGCACACGGTTTGGTCCGCGAGGCCCGGAGCCAACCGCCTGCCTTCACTATGAAAAGTGAAATGGAATTCTAGAAGCTGCACTTAGGTGCCCTTCAGAGCTGCTGAGTTGACTCGCTGCAGAATGGCGTCCGGGAAACGGGAAGACACCCCACAAGCCCGTAGACAGCGGAGGCGGGAAGCCAGGACGTGCCCCAAGGCTTGGCCGCCCCCTCCAGGTGTGGGCCGGGGGGCGGGCTGTGCGCGAGAGGGAGGAGACTGCTTCTTCCCATCCCCCGCCTGCACGTGCCCGGCGCTGGCACCCGGAGCAGCGACCCCCGCTGGTCTTCCCGGGCTGCGCTCCCCCGCCAAGGTGGTAAGATGTCTACCGAGTGCCCACTGTGGGCCAGGTTTCACGCTGGGCTCTAATTTAGATCTCTTTTTTGACTTGACTTTATGAAATTAAGGTAACATGCACGTAGCACAAAATTTGTCACCTTGACCATCGGAGGCACACCGTTCGGTGGCATTAAGTACATTGGCGCGGCGTGCGCCCCTCGCCACCGCCCAGCTCCAGTCCAGATCCGCCCTTATTTAACGTCCCCCACAGGGACACGCGTGTCTGCTGTGGCGGCCGGGCTCTGGGCCCCGGGAGGACGGCCGGACACGCGGGAGAAACTCAAAGACATGCTGGTTCACTGGAGAGACGGAGGTTCTTCAGCATTAACATCCCCGTTCTGCGTGTAAAGAAGCGGAGGCTCATGTCGTCGCCGAGGGTCCCAGGGCTCAGGAGCCGCAGCTCCAGGGTTTCCACCCAGAAGCCACGCCCCCTCCGTCGCAGCCCGCTCCACCGGCTGTTCTGAGTCCGGGATGGTCTGGAAACGTGAGCCGGACGCGGAGGGCCTGATGGTCGCTGCGAACGGCCCGGAAGCCCGTGCAGGTCCCTGGAGCTAGCCCGGACCCTCTGGGTGGCACCGTCTGCTCGACGGCAGCACACGCGGCGGGCACCGGGTGCCACCCTCCCCCAAACGTGAGCGGGAGAGCCTCAGGCCTCCTCAGAGAGGAGCTTTCCTGGAGCACGGCACGACAAAACCCTCGTCTGTGCGCCCCAGCGGCACCTGCAGAAGACACAGGGGGACATCCCAGAGGAGGCAGTGTCAGAGGCCACCGCCGGCCGCCACAGCGGGAGTGGTCGCCCTCCGCCTTCCGCCTAAGATGCGCGCACGCGTGTCACTGATGGACGCGGAGGAGTCTCTTCCAAGGTGTTTTCAGAGGGGGACCCCACCAGGAACACCCCCCTAGTTCCGTCTGCAGGGGGCAGAACTCGGGCGGCTTCCACCCGGTCCTCTGCACGCGCCACAGCGCCCTCCAGGGACAGGCCTGCAGCATCCGTGCTGAATGAGCCCAGATCTCAGAGTGACTTAAATCCCGAACGCCTCGAGCCCAGGATGGGAGGACAGTACGGGTTCAGCCAGATGAACTCCTTCTAGGGGCCCCCGGGGGACTTGCCAGTCGAGGCTCTGCGTGACACTGAGCGAATTTCTCTCCAGCCTTTTACCACCCGCCCCCGCCCCCGCCTTCATCAGTTTCCCTTCACGTGGGCCTCACACTGGCAAAGTGCCACCTGGTGACCAAACGTGGAACTGCCACTGTGTGTGTGAACTACATACACACTTAATGTATGCATATTATGAACCATAAACCCTAGATATTCTTGATTTAATCTTTATTGTATTTTCCCCCACTACTATTCGGTCCCCTTATAACTCCCTCCCCCCAGCAGTCACCACCCTGTTGGCCATGTCCCTGAGTCCTTGTTCCCTCCTGCTCAATCCCTCCACCGCCGAACCTCCCCGCATCCCAGATATTTTCAAACCATTCTAATTTCAACTATTTTGTTAAACTACCCATACAAATGCACTCCCATTCTTGTTGTAGAAAATATGGCCACAGTGCAAACGAGACAGTAGGGTATCTTATGGGGCAATTCCTATAAGTCTATCAAAAGGACTAAAATCCACTCAAAAAAATAATTCATTAAACAGTCTTTTTTTTTTTTTTGCCTGGCTGGTGTGGCTCAGTGGATTGAGTGCTGGCCTGAGAACCAAAGGGTCACGGGTTCGACTCCCAGTCAGGGCACATGCCTGGGTTGCAGGCCAGGTCCCCAGTAGGGGGCGCATGAGAGACAACCACACATTGATCTTTCTCTTCCTCTCTTTCCCCTTCTCTTCCCCTCTCTCTAAAAACAAATAAATAAAAACCTTTAAAAAAATCCTTTAAAAAAAGTTTTGTGGAGAGTATATAATTTGCTAACATCTGCTATTTGTTTCCGGCTGGATCGTGTGCCTCTCCCACCCCCGATCGGCCCCTAGGAGCCCCCTCAAGGGACGCCCGCGCCCTCTGACCCGCCCCAGCACTCTCCCAGCACTCCCTTGCTGTCGGGCACCGCAGGGAGGCCCGGGGTCACTTTGGGTTCCTCCTGTTCTGTCCCTGAAGCCACCGTGCCTCAAGGAGGCAGGGTGGGCCCCGGACCGTCCTTTGCTCACTGGGCCTTGCTGAACATGTGGCCGTTTCCAGGGTTTACCATGAGAAACAATGATGCATGAACGTTTCTTGGAAGGAATCTTAATTTAATGGGGGGGGGGTTAAAAGAAAACAAATTAACACGCACCAATGCAGTTGTGACTTGGCAAACAGAAAGCTCCGAATGCCAAAACTCTGCTTCCAAAGAGGGAGAAAATTATTTTAGACAATTTATAATTAGAATAGAAAGGCACTCATTTTCTACATTTGCAGACGTGTAGTATTTGTGCCAAAGAACCAAATGAGAGTTCCTGGGTGGGATGAGATCTGGGTCATGTGAATAACTCATTTACAGCACTACGACACCCTTTCTTTTATAGATTTCAGGGTTTT